CTTCCACAATATATGACATTTTTCTGTATAATTGTTTTTTACTGCTCATTCTCCCCAATTTGCCTCTCCTCTTCTGCTGTCAACAGCTACCCAAATTTGCAGCATTCCCTCCATGGCTCCGGCCTGTGTGCGACCAAATGCGGGTTGCCATTTACAATAACCGGTGTAAAAATCTCCAGTGAGGAGGAACTGGGAAGTGTGAGACAGGAGCTCCTGGGACCTGCTTTCCCGTTGCCTCACTGCGTTGCAGCGGGGGATAACTGTTGATGCCGAGTGGTGCCCTAGATCTGCCTGTCAAGGTTGAGATGGGGACAGGCCAGGGATGCAACAGGGCATTTTAGGCGTGTAACCAAAAGAAACAGGGAATAGCTATGCTAGGGTTATTCCCTGAAGAGCTTTAAAAGCTTAAAAGAGGAATGTTAAAATCAACACTGGTCTTTACAAGGAGCCTGAGGTGAAGATTTCGAGACTGGGATTAAGCGTATGACTGCCATTGAGGCCACTGCCTTCAAGGAAATGAAATCCAGCACTGGTGAATTAAATCCAGCATTGGTGACATGAGGAACATGTGAGCTGTATCGTATATGCAGTCCCTGCCCAGCATCTGAGCTGCATAACAGAGACATGGAAGGTGGAAGATTGTAATGGGTTCCCTCCTTCCTCCCTCATTTCTTTCCCTTCCGGATTTCTTTCTTACCTTCCTCCTTTTCCTCTTTTCCTTCTCCATTTCTCACCCACCAGCTGCACCTTACTGGGCTGTGGCTGTTTGTGAGGGCCTGACTAAATAAAAAGCAAGTATAATCCGAGTAAGGATCTCCAAGGTTAATCAAGCTGTCGTCCTTTGCCGAAGGCTGTGATGCTTGGGGATGCCCCTGCCTAGGACTGCAAGCTCCACTGAAATGGGAACAGGAGGCTGGAGTGGCCTGTTTTGAGACTACCACTCAGTCAAGTGGATCAGAAGGGAAGATAGGCAGTGAAAAAACGGCCATCAGATTTTATCTCAGGGGAATGCCACACTATTCTGCCTCTTCGTCTTGTTTCAGGTCAGCAGAACTGGTACTAGGTCTTATTTTCTTCCTCCTTCTCTTTAGAAGGTAACATAGAGGGAAGGGAAGAATATTCACACTGCTTCTGCTTAAAAGCTAACTTTTATGTAGTCCAAGTCAGCTTTGAAATTTAAACCTCCCTGGGAAAATAAAACGAGAGAGGCTGAGTTCCTGTTTAGACTGATATTATTTGACTGAGGGCAGTCTTTGCTGAGGAGTAATTTGGAAAGGTAGCAGACAGCCATGACCTTGATTTACTTTGTACCAGTTTGGTTTGAAATGGAAGAATACTGAAATTTAAATTTTTAGAAAATTGTAGGGACATCATTAAAGAGGAGGACTGTCAGTTCTTCCTTTCGGAACATTCTGTAATGTTAAAAACAGCAGAGGATTTAGGTGTGTGGCATTCTTCTGCAGACTTCTTCATGTCTGTTACCAAACTCGATGGCATTTAAAGACTGGTCAAAGAAGAAAAGTAGTCCAGGACTCTCAGCACACCCTTGGATAATTTTCAAAATGAGAAACACTTATTTATACTGTATAATACATTTGCTAAACTGTGCTCGTGGGAGGCATAGTACTAGATTAAGGAGGATATTGGAAATCCTGTATGAAGTGCATTTGCTAAGGCAAGTGGAGAATTCATATAATATGGAGCACATTCTGCCCCATTTACTTTGGAGAAACCCCAACTCACTTTAAAATACGTACGCTAAGGCAGTGCTGTTATTGGGAGCTCATTTATTTGAACATTGATCTTCGTTTCAGTCACCCAAATATTTGAAACAATTTGCATTTGCCAAGTGAAACTCTTAGTTAATATCAATATAATAGGACAGGAAATGATTGGGGGGGGGGCAAACTCCACTTTATTCTGGTTGGAAGGATTTCTTCCTCTTTGATCTGCAGTTTTGGATGTAGTTTCAGCGTTCAGTTATTTATATTGGGTTCTTTCCACCTCCAGTCCTGCACTTTGTTTTCTTGTTCTTTCTTACAGGGATGGTTTTGTTTGCTTTCCTACAAAAACACCTCACAATCAGGAAAGAGCATGGAGCTTGTCTGGTTTGGGAGGCAGTGAACCAACCGGCAGTTTTCTAATGCTCCAGACTACAGATTAAAACAGTGCCATCATGTTCAGATGTTTCTTCAGGGGATAAAATGCATCTAGATCTGAACTCCAACATGCTGATAGACCTGTGAGAAGCAGAGCTAGGAAAAGAAGACAGAAACACTAAACAAACTGTCCCATTAATCAAAGAAAACCAAGAAGTAAAGACTTCCTGTGAATTGTCCTTTTCTCTTTAAAACCCTCTTCCTCATCACAAGAGCTGCAGGAGACCCTTTCCTCTCCCAGGACAAGTGGGCCACCTCTAGCCCACAGTTAGCTACCCAGCAGGTACCTAACGAAAAGGGAAAGACCTGAATTTTATCTGGTTCTCCTCAGTGACAATGGCACTAATATAGATTTCTTCCTTCTGCTTGAAATTTATAGGGTCTTTATTATAAAGTAACCAAATTATTGTGGCAAACTTGACCAGGGAACAAAAAAGTCATGAGGATGGGAGGTGGGGAACAGACAGCAGGCTTCCCTTCTTTCCTTAAGATACCAGGTTAAACACTTACTTCATTTAGTAGGGAAATACAGAGATTTATCTGCTGATTGGCATTTTTTCCTCCTCTCTCTTTTTTGATCTATTATGTGATGTATAATCAATTTTATTCTCTGGAGATGTTATTGATGCCGCTACATGTAAATAGAATCCCCCTTTGCTACTGACTGCCATATATGTATCAGAGCAGCAAGAAAACTGAAGTTTGATTGATGAGTGGTGGCAGAAGACTTGCTCTTCAGTATTTAACTGGAGGTTCACACTGGAGGAGCTTCGAAGATTGTCCCATATCCCTATCCACCACAGTCATCCTTTCTAAGTCTCAGATGTCAGGCTTTTCCCAGAAACCTGTGCCTACTGTGCTCCCAGAGGAAAATGGTGTAGCCTGACAGAGGTGTGATTTAGAGAAGAGGACTTGTAGGGACATTTACTTGCTAAAAGGCAGAGAGACTCTTCCCAGTGGAAAACCGTTTCTGGGATAACTCGTCATTTTTCCTGGTTATGCAAAATTCTTCTGTCCTAGTTCACAAAATGTGCCAGGTTTTCACCCATGGCTCATCCTGAATGACTCTGGTGTTTGATCGAAATGTCTTACCCAGCCCATATGCAAAACACATCCATTGAGAAGGAAAGAAGCGGAGAGGGATTTATGAATTAACCCTGAAGCAGGCTTTTTATTGACTTCCTTGAACTTCCTGCTGCCTTCCTGTCTTTCACATGGATTTTCTATGGGGCCTGAGGCATACCACTTCATTTCCCTGGAACTCAGTTTCACCACCAGATGAACTGGCATTTTCCTAATTCAGAGGGCTACTGGCAGTTTCATCGCTGAAAGGTTTCTACAGTCCCTCTCACGTAAGACATTTTTTGGCATGCAAAGAAGTACCATTATGAGAGATGGGTATTACATACCAGTGTGCCTTTTAGATGAACTTGTACAACTTGTGTAAAGCTTTTACAGCTTTCGGTCAAATACTCGTCTGCAATCAACATAATGGCAAGGGAGTATTTGTGTGCAGCCTTTCACACTTGTAGGTAGTGCCCAAACAAATCTGCGCACACTGGCAAACGCAGCATTATCCAGCCAGCGTTGTTACTAGTGCAATATTTGATACGTCTGCGGTATTGCTTGGTAAGAGATCCAGAACGTGTAGCTGTATTTATAATGGTATGTATCTCTGTGTATATATAATAGGTATACAAAGACATATGCTGTACATATGCACATGCACGCAGGCTCCTCTCTCCTGCCAGCCCCGGGGCTGCCACCGCT